GTAATATGCAACCTAGGGAGGTAGTGTAGCACTATGGAGGATGTTGATGCATTTAAGAAGTCTCATTTCTTCTTCATATTGTGTTGGTTGATTGAGTGAATTAGTGATCTTAGGACCCTTGAGTTGTGTGGTGTTGTGGACTCTCTACCTGTCATGGACTCTTGTATCATGTTTTGAGTTTAACAGGTGCTCGAAAATGTGCTTCAAAATAACGTCTCCCGTGCGAATAGGGCGAAAGTTTGTAAGGGGAGACGGGAATTCGTTCCCAATTTCCACCTACTACATCAAGCCCCCTTACATGTCTTTCCTCCGCACGAGGCTCGAGACATCCGCTCCTGGCATGGCCGGTAAGAGAAGGTTGGGACCCTTGAAAAAAAGAAACAATAACAGAAAACAAGCAAAACAGAAAGAAAAAGGGGTTCCAACCATCTTCAAGAAGAAAATAGAGCACCTTGAAAAATGTGAGTCCATGATCCTTTGTTTTTGAGAATCTCTTCATCCACAATTCATTTATCCTCTGTTCACTGTTTGCCATGATGCCGACTCGATACTAGTGCTCTCGCCGAAGAAGCTATGAGATGACTTGTGCGTCGGTTGACCTCGTAAGTTGCTAAATGATCTAGGAAGTCCTCTACCTACGATCTGGGTTGTTTGTTGCTATAGAGGTCTGGAGAGTTGCATTGGTTTGAGTTAGGTTTGCTTGGGGACAAGCAAACGGTTAAGTGTGGGGGAATTTGATATTGATGTAATTGCACATATTTGCGCCCCTAGTTCTTATCCGTTTGAGGGGCATAGTCGTGTATTTTTTGCCTATTTTACGCCGGGTTGTGCTATTTTGTCATATTTCAGGTCCCAGGCGTCAAAGGGAAGGCTAAGCACGAGTTTCGGGGCATTCGGAAGTCATTTCGTCGAGCTGGAGCCAAAACACGGGCACACCTAAAGCATTACACTGCCGTGTTCTGTGGCCGTGCTTTTACTGCCGAGAGCTAATTCGATTACACGGGCAGGGCTGAGAAATTACACGGCCGTGTTTCTCCCAATGCACTGGCGGTGTAATTAACCCTAGCCAAAGCACGGGCGGGCTAAGGCATTACACGGCCGTGCCCTCGACCGTGCTTTGGCCACTGATGCCCTTTTAAGCAGATTTTCAGCCAAAGAGAAGGGGATTCGAGTTTTTGAGAGAGAGAACGATTCCTAGAGAGAGAAAGCGACGAACAAGAGTCTCCAAGTGCCCTAGATTGATCTTCAACACCATTGGAGGCCAACTTGAGCTTGGAGAAGTGCCGATCAACGTCCAGGAGCAGGAATCCATCCTTCACAGTATGAATTCCGCGTCTGATTCTGCTTTTGCTTCTTTCTCCATGGAGTAGTTCTCCCATTCATCTGGGTATGGAGAACCCTAGATTTGTATGTTAGGCTTTGATTGTATGAACCCAAGTACTGATTCTATGATTTGATTATATTCGATTGAGGTTTGAATGATTGAATGACTTGAATCCTGATCAAATTCCTGTTGTTTCTGCTTTAACCTAGAATGAGAATATCTGCCTAGGTTGATAGAGCATCCTTGATTGAAGGTAGGGAGTTGGTGACTTTAGTCGAGGAGCCAACTCACTATTCTGTACCGGATTTACTCCGGTATTGGAGGTTTTGTTTGTTAAGGCCTCAATCTGTTTACTCCGGTGGAGGTTAGTCGCCCGCTAGAGACTCAGATTGAGAGGGTCTGAAGACCTTTAGTCGAGACTTCAGACTGTTTAAGTACCTTCCGCAGTATAACTATCATAGAAACTGAACTTGGTAATTACAATCCGGCTTAACTGCAGTCTAGGGGGAACCATATCCGGGTGACCTCTCTTAACCTGAATACAACCGTTTACTTGCTTTGTTAGTTTGTTAGTTTAGACTTGCATTCCAGTTTCATTGCTAGATAACAAGAATTCACTGAGTAGTCATTAGATCTAGGACCCGGGTTGACATATAAACCTAACCCGCTATACTACGCTTTAGGGAGTGGTTTCACTTGGCCAATTCCTAGGGTGACAGTAGAAGTGAGTCAGGTGCAGGCAATCCAAGAATGGGAGCCGCCGACGAAGGTGCCAGAGTTGCGGTCATTCCTCGACCTTGCCAACTACTATCGGAGGTTTATCAAGGGCTACTTCAACATTGCAGCACCTTTGACGGATCTCTTGAAGAAGAACAAGTCGTGGGATTGGTCGGAAAGGTTCCAAGAAGCATTCGAGGCCTTAAAGGCAGTGGTGATGACGGAGCCCGTGCTCGTGCTCCCCAACCCGACGTTGGCCTACGAAGTGCAGACTGATGCATCCGACTTCACAATTGGGGGTGTGTTGATGCAAGATGGGCATCCCATTGCCTTCGAGAGTCGGAAGCTTAGCGAGACGGAGAGGCGATACACCGTGCAAGAGAAGGAAATGACGGTCGTAGTGCATTGCTTGCACACATGGAGGCACTATTTGTTGGGGTCGAAGTTCGTAGTAAAGACGGACAGCGTGGCAACGAGCTACTTTCTGACGCAGAAGAAGCTCACCCCTAAGCAAGCGAGGTGGCAAGAATTTTTGGCCGAGTTTGACTTCGTCATGGAGTACAATCCAGGCAAGGCGAATCCCGTCGCAGATGCTCTTAGCTGCAAGAGTGCAGCCGCAAGCATCAGCCAACCCATGTTTCCTTTGAAGGAGCGGATTGTCGAAGGCCTTGGCCATGACCCCTTCGCCAAAATCATAGCGGAGTACATCGAGCAAGGTAAAACTCGGTGATTTTGGATGAAAGATGGGCTCATCATGACCAAGGGAGGGCGGGTGTTCGTGCTAAGATGGGCCAACTTGAGGAAGGAGATCAAGAAGCAGTGCCATGATTCCAAGTGGGCGGGCCATCCCGACATCGAGAGAATTCAAGCGCTCATCGAAGAAGCATACTTCTGGCCGCGTATGAGAGACGACGTAGAGATGTATGTGAAGACTTGTCTTGTGTGCCAACAAGACAAGATGGAGCAGAGAAGCCCGGAAGGCTTGCTAGAGCCCTTGCCCACGCCTCAACGACCATGGGAGAGTGTAAGCATGGACTTCATCATCGGTCTTCCCAAAGTCGATGGGATGCGGTTGCATCATGGTTGTGGTGGACAGGTTCTCGAAGTATGGAGTGTTCATTCCTGGGCCAAAAGACTTGACGGCAGAGGATGCGACACGTCCATTCTTCAAGAACGTGGTCAAGTATTGGGGCATTCCTAGCAACATTGTGAGCGACAAAGATGGGCGCTTCACGGGCAGATTTTGGCGAGAGTTGTTGAAGATCATGGACTCAAACTTGAACTTCTCGACGACATTTCATCCTCAAAGCGACGGACAGACGGAGCGGGTGAATGCCTTGTTGGAGGTGTACTTGCGGCACTACGTGAGTGCAAACCAACGAGATTGAGTGAAGTTGATGGACACGACACAGTTCTCCTACAACTTGCACTGCAGCGAGTCGACCAACACGAGTCCATTTGAGTTGGCGACGGGGCAGCAACCTTTGACACCTCCGACGGTGGCAACGGGGTATAGAGGCAACAGTCCAGCAGCCTACAAGTTCGCTAAAGGTTGGCACGAGAAGATGGAGACGGCCAAGTCTTACTTAGCCCGCGCTAGCAAGAAGATGAATAAATGGGCGGATAAGAAGAAGCGGCACTTGGAGTTTGAAGAGGGAGACATGGTGATGGTGAAGTTCTACCCTCATCGCTTCAAGCATCTCAAGAACGTGCACAAGGGACTGCTTCGCCGCTATGAAGGGCCATTCCCCATCGTGAAGAGGATTGGCAAGGTGGCGTACAAGGTGGAGGTGTCGTCGCACTTAGAGATCCATCCAATCTTTCATGTGAGCCAACTCAAGGCTTTCTACGAAGACAAGGAGGACGAGCAGCGAAGAGAGTCGCAGCGCGCACCAACACTCATCACCAAGACACACAACCGTGAAGTTGAAGAAATCATGAAGCGTCGTGTCATTCCTCGTCGTGGCGTACATCCAAGCTTTGTGGAGTACTTGGTCAAGTGGCGCAACCTTCCGGAGAGTGAAGCAACTTGGGAGAAAGAGCTCACGCTTTGGAAGAACAAGGACTTGATCGAGGCATTCCATCAAGAGGACGCGACGAGGGCGTCGCGAGCATAGGTGGGGGAGGATGTCATATGTGGCAGATGACATGGCGCCAACAAGGTGACAACATGGCGGCTGCACATGTGGCATGTATGGAAGACTAGTAGCATAGAGATGCTCCTAGGATTCTCCATCTAAATGAGAGTTTAATGGTGCACTTATGAGTCACATAATGTGTGACATTTATAGAGTGCATAATGGGGGGCTTAATGGGGTGTATTGATGTAGAGGAACATTATGAGGGGCATTGATGCCTTGTATGAGGAGAGACCTATATAAGGAGCCATCTCCCTCACTTGTAACTCATTCAATCATTTTTTAGAGTAATACACACTAGAGAGTTGAGAGAAAGGCTGTCTAGCGCTCTAACGGAATTGAGAGCTAGAGCCGCACGATCAAGGTTGTCAAACCGATTTGTGCCAGTGTGCCGGTTTAGCAAATGGAATGGTTCGACCAGTGGTACACACCGGTTTGTGCCGGTTCATGCCGGTTAATATTACAAATAATTTACAAATACTCATATATAAGCACGACATTCAACGTCAATACCTAAATATTTGTACTTGAATCCAACAAATAACATCAACATTTAACATTTTAACACATAAAATAAATAATAAATTACTTTTTATCAAATAAATTCACTAATATAAGATCATTTTACTTAGAGATTCGTATATTGATCATGCCGGTCATACCGGTGCCGGTTATATAGGTTTTATGACCGGTACAGGTTGAACCGGGTTCAACCAGTGGCACGCTGGCCGGCGTGACAACCATGCGCACGATCGAGAGTAAGGTCGTGATAATTGTCTCTGATAACCGAATGTCCGAAACAAGTGTCTACGACCGCGACGGAAACGCCGATGGTCACTCTATTCTTCTTCTCCTCCTCCTTGCTCTTTGTCTCCTCTTCTAGGGATTAGATCGCAAAGCTCATTTCATTCTCCCATCGAATTCGAAATTCAAATTCTTCTCCCGAATCAGTCGCCAAGCCTCCTCTCCATCTCTTGCCAGTTGCCAATTCCCAACCCTCCCAATTTTCTCATTCGCCAGCCATAGATTAGAAGTCAGAAAGTCATCGGATTGTGCAAAGATAGTCTCGAGCTCCAAGTCTCAGCACTTGTCCTAGCATTCAAACTTCAAAGACTGAAATCGCTAAGCAGAGTCTAGGGTTAGAAAAACGCGATGCCTTCTCCTTCGTCTTCGTTGCTCCTTCACCACAACTACCACCAACACGCGGCAGCGGCCATAATAACGCATCCATGGAAGAATTACCTGTTCCTTCCAATTTGTTCCTTCCAATTTGGTCTCTTCCGTGGCCAGATCGCTCCTTCCGATGCGGTGCCGCCTTCAAGCTCTACTTCACTTGTGAGTTCCTGATTTCCAATCTCTCTATGCCTCTCTCTTTACCGGGCTAGGTTTCTGGAATTTCTTTTCGTCGGCAGGATCTTTTGGTAATTCGGAGTAAAATTGACTGAAATTGCAGACTTCTGCTGCATCAATAATGATTGCTATCTGTTTCTAAATTGCTTCTGTTTGGTATTTATGGTTTCTATTGGGAGCTAATGAAGCTTGCGCTTCCTTCACTGGTTGTAGAGAATGAATTAGGTCTTTGTTAGATGATATTTTTGATAGAGTAGACTCCCAATCAATTTGCCAAATTACCGAATGAATGATTGCTATGTTGTCATGATGCATATGTACGGAGTTCAATTGAATTTATATATGTTCCTTCTCTTTCCGCTAGGTTCATTGGAGGATCTGCCGTAGTAGAATTGAAGAGAGAGTTGGGTGACTGCTGATCTCTTCTCAATGGCTTGACTAAGAAAGGTGATTGACTCCTCTTTTGGTTTGTTTCTCTCTTTTAGTCTTCTTGATAATAAGCTTTTCTCTTTTAGTCTTCCTTTGTGGTTAGTGTTGAGAGTTCCCGTGAAAATTTGATTGATTCTTGTCAACTTGGTATGTACATTTAAGGTAGTTTTTACCTGAAGATCTTGTATATTTTTGAATTCACTCGGCTAACCAATTATTATGCTCAAAGTAGATAGGTCTTCTCATTCTGGTGGTGCATGGTAACTTATAATAGGATCTGACCAATGAATATTTACATGGAAAGCTCCTAGAAGCAGCATTTAGAGCACTGTGGCATAGCTTATGTTTCAGGACTAGACTGCACTTTCCTAAGTTAGTGCTGGTTTTATCAACTTGGTCATGCAGAATTTGAGTTTCTTTGTTGTTCGTGCTCCTTAATTTTTCTATGAATAGGTAAGAGCGATCACCCAAGAGTATAGTCAGAAAGTGAACTGCTGGAAAGTTGAAGGTCTCATGGCTCTTCAAGAGGTTCCATGACCACTTACATTGCTCTCATTGATTTTCCATGGAAGTTAAAGAAATAACATAGGGACGTTTGAAGCTTCTCTGTGACTGGTTCACATTCACTTCTACTGATACAGCTTATGATCTGAACTTTCCAGACAATCACTTGAACCTTAGTCTATTATCTGAATTGCTATGTGTTGTAGGAAGCAGAGGATTAATTGGTCCACTTATTTGAAGATGGGATGCTATGTGCAGTTCATGCCAAACGTGTTACATTGAGTGAGTTTATCTTGACCGCTGCTGCAGTTTATCCCGAGTCTGACCTATTTATTAACCTGCTTCTCTTCTTGCTGATACTTGTTATGATGCTTAAGTGAGGAATACTTGGTCTGTTGAAAAAAGGGTCAGTCTCTTTAACTTAGTAATATTTGCAATGCTGAATTTAGCCATTAGGAAGTTGTAGATTATATATTGTCAACCTAGTAGGCGCCTAGAGGTCAATTATGATGGCGTCCTCTTGATAAGTTAAGCTAGAGACATTAGTTAGACTTCTGTTTATGGTATTCCTCATTTTTTTTCCATTGGCAGCGTGGTGTTTGTGTTGAGATAATGTACTCTGAACTTATTATGTAGAGAAGGAAGATGATTCCCAATGCTAATGTATGAGTTATGTAGTGGTTCACAGAGGAAACAAAGTTTTGATAATATGGCTACTCTCAGCTATTTGTACTGTTTGCATCAGCCATCAATGTGTAGCAGGGACATGTCAGTTTCATACTTCATTTACATGTCTCTAAAGATCATCTGAATGTGAGGGACTGCAGTTTACCTACATTATTGTCTCTGCTATTATTAACTTTGATTACAAAAAATTTCTAATTAATAAAACCTAAACTTATAGGTTATGTTCAGAACCGATGGCTATGCATTTCCTGGAACTTACAGTTTAGGTTTGTTCTTTACTTATTTTCTCCTCCCGTGCATTTATCTCCTGAAGATGGTAAGAAGCAGAATGGTCAGTGTGTGTTTCCTTAATGAAAGGCTTGTTATTATTCTTGTTGAGGTTTTTGTTTTCTGGAAGGTAGTGTGAGATGTTTTTGCACTTTCTTGAATCTCCAGGTGTGAAAGAACAGAAAGAGGATGAGGAGGAAAGTGATGATGAATTGGCCAAATCTGAAGCAAATGAGGAGGATGAGACTGATCTTGATTTGTCCTGAAGTTGCTGGATCAGGCGAGGCAATTGCTGATAAGAGTTATAGCGGAAGTTGCCTATGAGAGAGGTTAGTTGGGCCTTCTTTTCTCTCGATCATGGAACAACATAGGCCTCCATGTTCGGATATCAAAATTGAAAAAAACATTGCTCAAGTATACACATGGTACTTAACCTTTTGTGATAATGTTGTAATTTACCTACCAAAACAAAGTGCAACCTAGAATAAAACCACACCTCACGGAGAAAATATGTGTATGATTGGACTCGAATCACTCCCCCCATACTTAGACGTTTGCTTGTCCCCAAGCAAACCATTTCCAAATGAGGCATCCACAACAAACGACATTCAAATGCATCAAGAACGTGCAAATGAAAAGTTATCACCTTGTTAACAAACCAACACTAGTCTCGATAAGACTACTCACCAACCACAACTAACCGTGCATAGAGTTCAAGTCCAATGCACAAAAAAATGGGCAACATAGGTCCTCACCGGGGTAAGATATGAACATGCAAAACATGAATGAATCACTTACTCTCGACTAGTTGGGTCAGGACAATATCTTTTTCTTTTTCTACTTTCCGTTTCTTTTTCTTTTATTTTCTTTTTCTTTTTTTCGAGGGGGTAATAGAGGGTTAAACAATTTCCAAATTAACACTTAATGAGCAATTCTCTCTATTAAGAAATTCCTACAACACTACTTCTTCATTCCTAGCAAGAATCGTGCAACATCCTCCTATGTAGAACCTCAATGGAGCTCAAGAGCGAGAGCTCCGAGACACAAGGGCGACTCACGTTTTGATACGAAGAAAGGAGATGGGGTCTTTCTATCAATCACCATTAAGCTCAACAATCACAAAGCTCCTAACATCGGAACAACCCCCAAAGTCACACAGCTCAAAGGGGGATAAGATGTTTCGGGACAATCAACTTTTGGGCGTGCACTAATCCTATGCCTCCGTCATACTCAATAGTGACAACTGTGAATGTTCCTTGTCATGGTAAGAGAGATATAAGCACACAAGAAGAAGACGATTGGCACAAAACTCACATGGCTACCTAATCACCCAATCGTCTATTCCAATTTCACAAAATTCTATGCAAGGCAATTGTGATCAAAGAGTAACCAAGTGAAGACATCCATTCATTTAAGCACACATGAGAACTAGGATTTTGCACACAGCTAATGCAATTCTCAGTCATCATCATAGGACACCCTCAATCACATGAAATTGATTCACAGTCAATGCCAATAAACATGAGATTCACCCACAAACCGACCACTTTGACCATGCAACGATTGGAGCCCTCAAATTTGAAAATTCGGGCATATATCAAGGCTCCAAGCAATTAATCACAAACACAAGCACAATAATAAACTTCCCCTCCCCTCCACTTAGGCTTGACATTGTCCTCAATGGCGTAAAATAGGGGGTAGAGTGATGTTACTGCAAAGCTTGGCGAGTGAAAATGGGACAGTTTCCAGGGTAGGAGAGTTGATCTTCCAAAGAGGAGGAGTAAACACACATAACAATATTCCATATCACGATAAAAAGGAAGAAAGCTCACAATTGTACTAGTTCACAAACTAAAAAATATATAACAGAGTTCAGAGTTTCAAGTTGAGAAGTGGGATGAAAGAAATCGGCTCTGCCACATGTCTCACTTGTTCAACTACCTCAAAGATCCTCGTCATCGACAGGACACCCTGCTTGCGGGCAATCTGCACCAGAAGGTCAATGGAGCAATCCAGGAAGGTGTTAACCCCATGACCTGCTCCTCAAGGCGTGTGACTCGGTCTACCAACAAGACTCCGGATGAAGAACTAGCTCCCGCTGATGATGATGGTGGTGGTGGTGCTGCACGACAGCGATGGCCTGGAGCTCGAGTAGCCGGTTTCTCAGGAGGAGGGACCTCTAGATCAAGCTCCACTGGAGCAGGGTCGATCTGTGGCCTTAGAGAGGCCGAGGTCAAAGTCTTTTGAGGTACTTAATCCCTCGCTCTCCCTTGAGCACGAGCTTCATGTTGTAAAGCATCACCACTAGGAATGGTTCGGTCCGACCGATGATGGAGCATCCCGTTAGATCAACCCTGAAGTGTCGGGCCAGCCTCGTGATGATGCCCCCCAAGTGCATCGTGCCCACTCGATTACGCCCTAGGCATCTGGTGAATGTGGTACCCACTACTGATCCCAGATGGAGTGGATCTGATGGCTGGCTCTGGGTATGGAGAACTATCAACCCTCTGTTGGTGATCATGTGCCCCGACCGCAGACTGGGGATGATCGACTTCGTGAGCAGTGTGTGCAGGTTCCTCCACGGATTCCGGAGCTTTACTGCTTTGGTGGTGGAGCCCTTGAACTCATCATTCTGGTACGTCAGAAGGTATATTTCATGGAAGGCCTCATCATAATGGAAGTCATTTGTGTACTCCCTCTCTTTCATGGTCATGTTGGTGGGGTCGAGCCCCATGGCCTGTGCAAACTAGTCATAGGTCAGCACTTGATGCTGACCTCCCAGCATAAACTCCACATACACCCGGTTGCGCTTGCTCGACGGGATCACATTGGAGAAGATGGAGTAGAACTCCACACAGAGCTCGCGTTAGATGAGCTCGTCAACCGCCAGAAGGTGTCGCCACTGGGGATGAATTAGTACCCCAGACATCGCTACCCGACACCTGAACATAGTGAACATGTCTAGCTCCAACACCCAGTGAGGTTTTGCCTAGATGTACCTCCATTGCTCGAACATGGTACCGCATTTCTCGTGCTTCACCAGGTGGTGAATGTACTCATGACTCGCATGAACCATCTTGCACAACATCAAAGACATACACCATTCATGGAAACATTCATCAATCTCAAATCATTGGGGGAAAAAGAATTCCCCCACACTTAAGATTCCACTGAGGTTCCACTGAGGTCCTATCCCTTTGAAGGCTTTTCATAATACCGGATTTCAAACAATTTAAGCTCAATCACGTACAAAGATCATCGAGACATGATTCAAGGTGATTCATGGTTCTTCAAAATAAAAATATCGAACCCAAACCATGCCTCGATGGCTACCAACCATCATTCACACTAAGGCTCGATCATTCATTCAAAAATTTGCACTTGGTAGGAATTCTCAATTGAAACCACAAAATCATGCCAAATTAACCCTATAGGCGTCTTCTCCTGCTTTTAAAAAGCCATTAACTTCCTCGATATTCTAAATACTTTTTGTCGGTGAGATATCTTCCCCAAGATCCCAACACACCTCTTTATGCATTTACTTGGCACCTATCGAAACGAGGCTTTTGGAGAAAGGAGAAAAGCCTTTACCGCATGAGGGAACGATGTATGGGTATGATTGTATAGCGCATTGTTCCTCGATAAAGGAGAGGACTCAACTCAAGGAGTGGAATGAAAAAGAAGAGAGAATTTCTATCAATCAGAGGAATCAAGTCATGCAGTCTACAATCCAATCCTTGCTCCCGTAGTCAGTCTTTGGGGTTTGTCCCCCAGTTCTGGTTCTGCCTCATTTGATAATAGAAAGTACCTCTGTATGGACTATCTCTTCCGTGCGTCTTTCTCGTGGCGGAAACAGAACAACAGAAAGACCGTGATCGAAGAAAAGAGGCTGGCTCTAATTCTCTCATCCCCAATCCCCTGATCCCTGACAGCCAATAACAGACAGAAGAGAGAGAGCACAGACAGATCGATCCCTCCTTGCCGAGGAACTCTTGTTAGTACTTGTTTGAGGAATTGAATCAATAGTTGATCAAAGTTTTTTTTCCCACCAAGGCTCAATTAACTTAACAAACACTTCATGCAACATTCAATCAACCTAGTTCGACATTCCCCTCACCCAATTTCAACATGCATGCAAAATTTTCCCAATTCTCCTCGCCTAAGATGATATAATCTCAAATTGGCCATTAACCCAGCTGGAAATTATTGATTATGAAGGAAAGTTAAGTACATTGAAGAACACTAATTTTTTGCCAAGTCTTTTTACAGTCTCAGGTAGCCAACTTTGGACGAGTGCAACTTGTGTTTGATTCTATGGAAATGGACGTTTGAGAGCTTGTTTTAAACCTAGTGTTACCCACTACAAGCTAGAGTGCTTGATTTTTTAAGTAAAGGCAATGAGGATCGTTTTTAAAGCTTCCCAAACAGCCTGGTCAGAACCGGAATTCTGCCTGAATTTGGCTAAGGCAGAGACAGTGTTCAGGAGGGCCACTTTGAAGCTCTATTTAGGACAGAAGGAGGAGAGCCGAGCTTCACGAAGGGTACCACACAAAGTATGCATCTTGTAGTACAACGAAGAGGCATTGGTTGACTGGCATGAAGATTGAAGAGCTCGAACAAGGAGTCCAAAGATCGGTTCGAAGCCACATTTGCTGCCTTGGAGAATAAGCAATCCGAATCCTAGTCGGATTAGAATTAGTAGACTGTTTGTGTTTTAATTCGTTTTTGGATTGGTTTTAAATTCCTTTTAGTGGTAGATTTGTAATTGAAAATTCCTTAAGAGAAGTTAGGATTAGCTAGGCCTATTTAAGTTGTTTTGACTCGTTGTAATCATCAGTTTTTGATCAATTGAATAACAAACCGAGAGTTTGAGTTCATAGGCTTTGTCTTGTGAATTTGGAGATCTTCCTAACTGATTCTAGGTCGATCTTGAAGCTTGTATCATAAATTAAACCCACTGTTCGCGGCCAACCATCTACCCTAAGGTTCCGAGCCTCTTTCCCTACGAGGGTTGCAAAAAAATCACCATCCCAACTCGAATTCAAAGCTCTGTTTGTGAGTTCTTCTTCCATGAATTCAATTCAATCCTTGATTGAACTCGTTCTTGTGTTTTCTCTAATCCAAGCTACCAATTAGGGTCTTATCATAAGAACTCTAACCCGATTCTCCAAAAGCGACGAAGGAAAGGTTTGAACAAACGCAAGTAGGGTCGAAGAGGAAGTGAGGAGAGGGAGAGGGTGTCAAGAATCGGTCAAAAAACAACCCAACGGAGCACCGGAGCCTCACCGAAAATCGCCCACCCCAGAAAAATTCGAACCAAATTGCCTAAAAAAAACTTTGGCAAAGGTGTACCTGTGCGTGGTGATAATTGGTCTGTGCTTGGATATGGATTTGGGTGACCGAAAGTTGTCGAAAGCTATGAAAAACAGCAAGAGTGCACTCAAAATTCAAATTGCAACCTAGCGTAAAATCACACCTCACGGAGTACAAATTCATCAAACATCTAAGGAAAACGGGGATAAAATGTGTACAATTGAACCGGAATCCATTTCTGATTCCAACTCCAGAGGACATGTTAGATAAGTTGTAGGGAGCTTGATTTTTCACTAAGCTAGATCTAAGAGCCGGATGTCATAAGATCCAAACAGACACTATGAGTACTTTGTGATGCCATTTGGGTTGTGCAATGTGTCGTCAACATTCCAGGTTGCCATGAATGACATCTTCAGAACGCTGTGGTGCAGGTTTGTGCTGGTTTTCTGGGATGATATATTTATTTAAAGCTCGACATCGGAAGAGTACTTGTAGTAGTTACAACAGGTGTTCGGGACTCTAAGAGAAAACTAGTTCTTCGTGAAGGCGTCGAAGTGTGCTTTCAGGGTGAGTTAGGTCGACTACATTGGGCATATAAGTATCCTTCCAGGGGGTGAGGGTCGATCCCTCCAAGATACAGGCTATAATGGACCACCCCACTCCGAAGACGATGCCTGAGCTAGCCTGAGAGGATTCTTGGGGTTGAACAGGTACTACCGGAAGTTCATGTATAATTATAACTCGATAGCCTGACCATTGATCGAGCTACTAAAGAAGGGAGAATTAGGCTGGAAATCAAGGGCAAATGAGGCATTTCAGGCCTTGAAGGCCGCCATGCCCACTAATCCCACTTTAGTGCTACCAGACTTTTCCCACCCATTTGATATTGAGATCGTCAAGGAGAGGAATCGGGGTCGTGTTGTCAGAGAGAGTCATCTGATAGCTTTCATGAGTCAGACTTTGTCTTCTTCCAAGGAGGCGTAGTCCAGTTACCACAAGGAGATGTTGGCCATCACCACAACAGTATATACATGGAGGCCATACCCTTTAGATTAGAAGTTTCGGGTGTACACTAATCATCAGAATCTCAGGCACCTCTGAGCACCATAAATGGTTGGTGAAGTTGCTTGGGTACGACTACAAGATGCACTACAAGCCTGGGCCGACGAACAAGGCCACAAATGCCTTGTCGAGAGTGTAGGTAGGGGCGATGGTAGCGGCGGTGACCGGACCGGTGGTGCAGTTCTGGGATGAGGTGCAGAGATCCGCGGAGACTAGTCTGTATCTGCAGGAGTGTAGGGAGACTTCCATCAGTGAGAACCCAGGGAACTTCACCTTCAGACACGGGTTGGTTTTCTACCGGGGATGGATTGTATTACCTGTAGGGTCATCGTTAGCCACTACGGTAATGAAGGAGTATCATGATTCGTCGGTCGGAGGTCATTCGAGGAATGAGATGACCTTGATGAAGATCAGAGGGCAGTTCTATTGGTCGGGGATGAAGCAGGAGGTGAAGTCCTACGTGGCTTCATTCGAGACATGCCATCGGGTCAAGGCATCTCTACTGTGACCTTGTGGGTTGCTACAACCGCTTCCAATACCTCAGCGAGTATGGGAGGACATCGGTATGGATTTTGTGGTTGGTTTGCTAACATCTGGGGGCAAGATGGTGTTTTTAGTGTTGGTGGATCAAGTCACCAAGTATGCACACTTCTTGGCATTAGCCCATCCATAGACTACTAAGATAGTTATAGAGCAGTTTGTGTGGTCATTAGGCACCATGGGTTTCCGAGGACCATAGTAAGTGACCGAGATGCATTATTTTTGGGTCGGTTTTGGCAGGAGGTATTGGCGTTGGTTAACGATGTTGCCATGGGTGGAGTTAGTACAACACCAAGTACCACATAGTGATCCGGACTACCCCGTTCGAGGAATTGTACAGGCGCCTACCTCCGACACTTATTCGATACCATGCGGGATATAGTGTTGTGGATACTGTAGGCCGTTGGTTGGGGTGACCGAGATCGAGCACTGCAGCGATGAGAGAGAATTTGGCGGCCTCGAATAATCAGATGAAGCAGTTAGCTGACTCAGGATGCAGGGAGGAGGAGTTTGCAGTCAAGGACTGGGTTTTGCTTCGGCTACATCCTTACAGGCAGGTCTCAGTCTTCAGGAGAGCATACTATAAGCTGACGACCCGTTATTTTGAACCCTATTAGGTGATTGAGCGGGTGGGCCAGGTGCATACCGACTGTAGTTACCAGAAGTGTCCCGCATCCACACGATGTTTGAGTGTCGTTGTTGCGTAGGTACAAGGGTGCAGCGACTTCACGAAATCCGCCATGCTCGCTTGTTCCGATCGAGGTGCTTGAAACTCGATGGGTGCAGAAAGGTGGAAGATTGCTAGAGCAGAGTTTCATTTTTTGGTAGCACATGGAGGCAGAGGACGACACGTGGGAGGATACAAAGACCATTCGACAGAACTATTCGACATTCGACCTTGAGGGCAAGGTCGGTCTGGCAGAGGAGTGGAATGTTAGAAACTCACATTTGGACCGGATTAAGGGGGCGCAGGTCGGGCTACAGCTTATAGGTACCGAACCCGAATAGTGGTAAGAGAGGGGAATTATTTTGCAGAACTATTTAACCTTCGGATTGTCTATTTTTCGAGGTTTCTTACAGTAGATTGTTGTGAGTGTTGGTTTTAAATATGTATATGGATGGTTCTTTCGTACACCAGGCAAAACCTGGTGTATGTCGTACACCAGGCAATCTCCACCATCTGTGTCCATCTCAACGGCCAACATAAATGAGGTAATTTATTTTTTAATCCCAGAAAAAAGAACCCGCATTTATGTTGGCCGTTGAGATGGACGTGGATGGTAGAGATTGCTGGTATACTACATACCCAAATATATGTCTGGTGTTGATAGAAGTCACCATATGTATATATATGGTGCCTTCTACGGTACCCCGGGTGAAATCCGGGGGAGCGCATACCTTGAGTATGAAAACGATATCTAGACCTCAAATTAGCAGGATTTTTGGGCATGATACTATATCCTAACCCTTAATGAGTGAACCCTATGTCCTAATTATCTAAATCATAAACTATAAACTCTAAGATGGTGCATTGATTTTTTTGCCTATATTTGGACGAATCATAACCGTTGATTATTGTTTCTAATTAAATTGATCTTGGGGTATCAGATTTAGATAATTAAGACCTAGATTTTGATCTTTAAGGGTTAGAGTATAGTATCATGTCCGAAAGATCAGTCAATTCAAGTTCTGGATAGCGTTTTCTTACTCAAGGTATGCGGTACCCTGGATTTCACACAGGGTACCGTAGAACTCGCCATATATATATAATATGTATCCATGTATGTATATATATAATCTGACCATTCTATTATATATATATATATATATATATATATATATATATGTAAATACCGCATTTATGTTGTCTATTGAGATGAAAACGGATGGTGGAGATTGATGGTGTACGATATACCGCCAGTTTTGCCTTGTGTACGATAGAAGTCACCATATATATATTGACTACTTCCTCACTTTTTTAGAATATTGAATGCACTCAATTTAGGAATTATTTAGCAAATGAATAATTAACTAACAACAATCAAATTTATTTTTATTTAATTAAAAAGTGCACCTTAAATTATATTTGTAATTGAGCCCCTCATTCATTTAACAAACCCCAAACCTTTCTATGCTTCCGCAATAATTTCACGGGCTTCTTTCTTTCATGAGAGCTGTCGCCCGCTTTCAACAAAATAGGTAGATCGACTACCAATAAATAAAAGAAATGCCCGCTCAATCTCAATATGAGCACGACCCTGAACCCGACATGAAAAGATTATTCTAATTCTCATTTAAACAAGCAAAGCCCAATAAAATCAATCAATAGGGGTCGTGTGGGTGTTACGTGGATTTCTTGGATTAGAACTTCCACGTAACGTGTCTCTCACGAATCGAACAAAGGAACTCGATAATGGCTTTAGAATGAAGAGAAATAGACTTAGAACAAAGAGAAATATAGAGGATCCAAGACTACTACTAAGCTACTTGGGTTCCAATCTTCTCATATCATTAAGCGAAAGATAGTACATATTTCTAGGCATAGAAGCCTCTACCTTATCCTATCTAGAACATGAAACCTTTCCTACAAGGAAAAGATAACCAAATCCTAAACATATTAGAAAACAATCTCAAATCCTACTAAGACAAGTAAACAATAATAATATCCCAAATAATACGAAATATTAACAAATAAATAAAACTACTAAAATAGATGAGCCCAGAAATGCCTAGATTATTACGAATGGCTCGTATCGTAACAATCCTCCCCCCTTGAGTGCAGTCTTGCCCTCAAGGTTGGTCATCTTCATGGATGAGCTGGCCCTCCTCTTCGGCGTTGCACGCTCCAATCATAAGCAACACATTCTTGTTAGGACAACGAATGCCAATTGTGAAACGGTCATCACAATGAAAACAGAGACCCTGGGCCCGACTTCGTCCAACTTCTTCCGGTGACATCCTACGGGCAGTGGGGTGTCATGGCGGTCCTGGCTGCGGCGGTGGTGCTCCTGTCTCTAGCGCAACCTCCATATTCGCACGCGGCGGAGGATTCCAGGGTAGAGTACGATGTTTGGCCATCCCATCGTTTTTCACCTTAGCAAGGCGAATAGCATCTCTGACCGTTGTCGGCCAAAACATACGAATTACGTAAGCGATTTCCGCTTAAGCCCTCCCACGAATGAACCTACCAGAGCCTCCTCCGGGCAACCATAGCAGCGATTTCCCAACTTCTCAAAGGTCAAGAGATAGTCATTTAGGGATCCGGTCTGCTTAACCTTTGCCAGAGCCTCATGACTAGAGGTGCTTTCTGATGGCCCAAATCGTGCCCATAACTCTTCACAAAACCTTGGCCAAGTGATCACCATGCCAGACGCCATGCAAGCTCGATCAAGCCACTACCACCACTGGTTCGCGTCTCCTTCCAGATGAAAAGACGCTAGAGGAACCTTGTAGTCTTCATGTGTTCCCTGAAATCTGAAGAATTGTTCCACACGAGCGAACCAACCGGAGGGATCTTCGGCTCTTTTAAACCTAGGAAACTCCAATTGAGCTTGTTTGGGCCGAAAATACCCGGGTCTATCGTCCTACCGATTCGACCATCCGTCCCCTTGAACCCATGCTCTGTCGTTTGGACCTGCTAGTCTGTTTCCCCACCCTCTATTGGGCCCATTTCCGCCCATGGGGCCTGTTGGTCCGCCACCTGGCCTAGACGGCCCTCCGCCCCAGCCTCCATGCTGCATACTCGTCCCGGCCCACGATCCTCTTGGCCAGCCTGCATCGCCCTACCCAGCTGGGTTGCCCTAACCACGCGTAGGCCCTTGGACATCCCACCTGCCTGGTCCAACAGATGCAGTCTATTGTCCTGGCCCAGCAGCGGATGCTCCCTCTCTGCCCAGTCCTTGTCGACCCGTGTTCGGCCCACCCGGTGTCTGTGTTGGGCTAGGTTTCCCATCACAAACTTGGGCCGAACCCGTCATCCCTGGTCCTTGGCCCAGTAGCACCGACCCTCCGAGTTGGCCTGGCTCCTTCAACCCAACGCCTCCCTCGTCTCCATCTGCGCTGCCATGATATGGGAGGGTCCTCCCGCGAATCGTCCCACTACGTCGAACCCTGCTCCGGCCATGTACAGCCATTCTGGTCCGACCGTAACAACGCCCGTCCCAATATTGCTGCCTTGCTCCCCAGCCAACGGCGATGTTTTATCCTCGATCTTGACCTTGTCGCAATCGACGATCGGTTTCTTCAGCTTCGCCTCAGCAGCGCGGCGCTCGAGTATCTCCGGCGAGGTCTCCATGAGGCCGTCGGTGGTCTTGTTCCTCGAGGGAGTCGCTCCCTTCCTCTCGCTGATGAGGGTCGCGAACATCTCCTTTAATTCGACGTACCTTTCCTCGGCTCGAGCTTGAATTTCAGCCATGGAATTCGATAAACCGTCGATTTTGCGCTCCAACTTTCGATCAAACCCCTACAACTGCTTGGTAAGTTGGGTGACCCGCCCCTTGAAGGTTTCCGGTCGTCCTTCCGTAGCTTGAACTCAGACTAGGGGATCAGTTTCTGTCTCATCGGCGCTGGTGGCTCGGGTTTTGCCCATCGCTTGCTCCGGTTGTCAACCTTGTCGGCGTGCGATGATGATGCTGGTAACCAGGAGCCTAGTTCTTGAGCAACCGGGCTCTGATACCAACTTTTACGTGGATATCTCGGATTAGAATGGCTTTAGAACGAAGAGAAATAGACTTAGAACGAAGAGAAATATAGAGGATCGAAGAGCACTACTAAGCTACTTGGATTCCAATCTTCTCATATCATTAATCGAATGACAAAGTATATTTTTATAGGCCGATGACTGGGATCCTAACAGCGGATGGCGAGTGAAAGAATTCGAAGCTTACCTGCCAGAGAAAGTAGTAAGTTGCATCCGTTCAACGATGATAGGCCTGGCCTCCCCAACCGAAGACACTCTGTTCTAGAAGCTGATTTCGAATGGGTAATTTTGCACAAGCTCGGCATTCACAGCGATAGCACCAAGCCCGGAGGGAGTCGTTAGCTTTTCCTTGGCGGAGAATTTGGCAACTTCACCGCCTTTAAAGAGTGAACATTTTCATGTGGATTGCAGCCAAGGGAAACATATCAACCAATGATATGTGAAAGTTTAGACACCTCAAAGATGATGACAAATGCCCTCTCTGTCACCAGGAGATAGAGAGGATCATACACTGCCTCAGGGATGAGAGCATGACAGATTCACCAAGCCTCTTCTCACTTACAACCTGGTATATTTGGAAATACATAAACGAATTTATCTTTCAGGGGAAGAGACTTATAATATCATCTCTTGTCAACTACGTCTCTACCAAAGCAAGGGAATGACTCAAAACTTGGCACTCAGCATGCAACAAACTTAGCATCAACGAGAAACCTCAGAGAGAGGAGCAGCAGATTGGTTGGGAGAAACCTCTTGCAGGCTGGTTGAAGTTGAACACAGATGGTGCAGCACAAGGAACATCTGGACTAGCTACTGCTGGAGGATGTCTGTGGAACAGCAACGGCGATTGGATGGGAGGTTTTTGCTGTAAAATCGAAAGTGGTTCGGCGATATTGGCAGAGCTTTGGGGATCCATCATGGGCTTTCTTATGCCTGGAATCAAGGTAACAAATTCATTATTCTTGAAACAGACTCCAGGTTAGCTATTGACCTTATCAAGAACCGTGAAGACCCCGTGCATCCCCACGCAACGATTTTAGGAGCGATCCGACGATTGCTAGCTCAAAGCTGGGTGATGAAGATGGTCCATACATATCGCGAAGGGAATAGAATTGCGGGCTGGCTCTCGAAGCACAGTCTCATCTATCCCTTCGGTATGTATAAGTTGGCGGATCCACCAGATGAGCTATGAAGGGTAGTGTTCGAAGATGTGATGGGAGTTAGCTTCCCGAGAATGGTTGTGAACCAGCAGGAGTGATTGATTTTTGTTGCAGGTTCAAGATTGTTTATGGTCTGCTTGCAACTTTGTTTTGTTAGCTACTGTTTGCTTTTCTTGGTTTGTCCTGGTAGCAAGTCCGCTGCTGCGTTTCTGTAGAGAAGTCATTTCTCAAGTCCTCCTTTTGTAATCCCTTGGCGGTATGCCTCCCCTTAATAAGAAAAAAAATAAGAAATTGAGTGCTTTCCATGCACTAGAAAAAGTGAGTGCACTGTTGTCCAGAATTTTTTTAAGGCTAACTGTGTTGATTAAATGGGCTTGATGATAATCGTTAATTATCGGTGGGAAAAAGATGTCACAACGTCTATATGTGTCTTTCGCCTAGTTCCCAACCCAACCAGGATATGTCCACCACTTGGGATTTGGAGGATGGTTCTCTATTTCCATCCAATGACCCATAAAAATGGCCTTTTAAATTAAAGTCTGAGATTTGTTAGAAATATAGATAGTGGATTATGGGACCCACAAACTCAAAAGTAACTGACAAGTGTGTAATTTTTGTGTCTCACAAAATTGAACTTACATACTACTAATGTTGTCAAAACCAAATCAGAGTATGAACCGATATAGTGAACGATTCAAAGTTTAGTGGTTTTACCGGTCTTATACTGTTGAAAAACCGTTAATGAACCGGTGATTCATAAACAAAAATATTATAATTTATAAGTACTACATACATATAGGACAACAAAGTATAATCATAGACATAAGGGTTAACTATAATAATTATTCAATTATTTCAATCAAAATTTGAAAACAAAAAGTATGTCATATAATGAACTAAGTCAACTATACAACTACCTTACTCTTCCTCTCGTCCAATCAGTAGTCAAGAGCACAATTATGGGCTCTCAAACCCATTTATTTAGTTAAACCTAGGGGTAAGGCCGCAAGGGGGATATATAAGAATTTGTGATAGAGAAATATCAACCCTAGCCGATCATACTTGCGTCTAGCGTCCACTTCACACCTTTCTCCCTCTCTCTCTTGGTTTCAATTTTGATATAAGTCGAGGCTCCAACTACTGGATATAAACAATCAGAATCCCAGCAAAGAACGATTAAAAGCACAAGGATCACAAACGGATAATAACCCAAATCAAATCCACAAGTCGGGAAGAGGGTCAGGTATACAAAGGACTATTCGGCTAGGGTGATGAGCTAGCAGAAAACATCAGATTACCCTTGCCGAATCGATTCCACGATCAATAAAGAAGAAGAAGAAGAAGAAGAAGAAGAAGAAGAGAAGTTGGTGTTTGAACAACGAATCTAGGGTTTGTATTTCTGAATAAAATTATCGATTACCCTCTAAAAGACTTAGTTCAGCCCCCTATATAGGCTACAAAGTTTTTGGGCAAAAAATAATAAAGAAACCCGAGGTTAAGAGTAAAAGTCACATAATCCGCAAAGGAAACTGAAAATAGGTCGTCTGCTGCCTATGGCAAAAAATACCCTATCGTGACTCAAAAATACCCGACAAGGTATTTTGCTGTCACTACAGGGGGTCTTCTGGTCAGACAAAAATAACCTATCAAAATACCCAACCGGGTATTTGACCTTCTTGACCGGGTATTTGGCCTGCAACAGCCCCAACACCAATGATCATCACTTCTCGTCCCACGAACAAGCGGCCTCCATTTCGGTGAAGTTTTGTGCCAAATAAGCTTGAAATGGACCCTTGAATGTCTTCTTGAGCCTCTAAAGCCTTCATCTTCGGACCACGATCATTGTATGTTCTTCGAACTTGATGGACATCTTGTGAAGTTACCCGGTTTGCATCAAATCTCTTTCTCTCTTTTTCATGACGAACAATACCAACAAAAATGCACATCATCTCATTTTCTGCTTGTCATAGGATGCTCTAAATTCTTCTAATCTTCGCCAAAACCACCGTTCCCTTCCATCCCTCTTTCTGATTCGTATCACTCAAACCCTCAATCTGCCTTTCTCTCTTGTTCTTTTGTTTCAAATTCGAGAATCTCATTAAATGGGCGGTCAGTCTAGTGAAAATCGGTCGGGCAATTCGAACGGCTTTAGCGGTTAACCGCTCTGACCATCCGCCGAATGACCAATTTACCGTGGCGGCTTTTCACCTGGTGCGAGCCGAGCTGGTGACCAGGTCCCGATTTTACTAGTCCGACCGACCAGCTCGGTTTTAACAATAGTGCATACTACTTACAAGTTGTATATGTATATTCTGGTTGAACAAAAATCATATTTGTATTGAAAAAAAACATATTTGTACTGCACATAAATACACATTAAAAAAACATATTTATATTGAACAAAAAAATATTTGTATTGAATAAAAAACATATTCCAAACGTGTGATTTGTAATTTTCACAACTTATATTCAAAATAATGTACCACGTATTAAAAATCATATTCTTATTAAACACAAAACATATTCGTACTAATCATTTGCAGAAAACAAAAAGCATATTCATCATTAGGTCACTCGTTAGGTGGGGCCTTGCGTTCCCGCTCCAAAGCACCGAAATCGCGAATTTTTCTCAATTCGCAAAAAGTTAGAGCGCATTTTTATTGTTAGAGCGTGATTTATGATTGTTAGAGCGCATTGTTGTTCAAAATGACAGTAAACAAGAAATTAAAACTAATGGTAGCTGCCGGAGAGGGCGTAGGACGACAACCGATAGCTGTAAATGAAGAAGACAGTAGATTGACATTCGTATTCAATTGGCAAAAGAAGAAAATGGAATTTCCGAAACGATAGAGAACCCCAAGATAGATTTGGAATCTGCTTTGCCAACGACGAGTATGACTTTCTATGACTAGTGAATTGTGACAAAAGACCTAGAAAGGAGATCCTGTTGTGAGCAGCCCACAACTCTTCGAGGGATCTATAGTGGGAGAGAGCCGACAAAGCAGTTGATGGCGGGGAGAGCCAAAATCTTGAAGAATTGACGGAGGATCTGCTGGAAGGAGACGAACAATTGAATCATCGGCCGCAACGAAGGCGGCAGAGAGCTTGGAGGTCATGGTGATGAAAATGGAGTCGATTAACTGGAGCTCACTAGTAGCTGAAGAACATAAACAAATTGGGAGAGATAATAAGGTTGGGAGATCGGGAATGGAATGATCTGGATGAAATTAGGAATGGGCCATTTTTTTTTTATGAATAATGGGCCATTTTCCCAGAGGCGGAGAGGGATAAAATTTTGGGGGGAAATGGATGATTGTGGTGAGTTCGATGATCCTGTTCCTGATCGCTTGGTTTGGATTGGGGAGGCTTCGGGTGTGTATTCCGTTAAGTCGGGGTACCATTTAGCTTCTCAATTGCGGCAAGAGAAGGAATTGGTGAATAAGCAAGGGGTGGTTCCTTGGGACCGTGGATTATGGAAGAGGGTCTGGTCCGCATCCTTGCCTCCGAAATTGAGTATTTCATATGGCAAATGGTGCGTCGGGTTTTGCCGACAGGGGAGGCACTCAGTGTGAGAGGGGTGGATGGTGTGCACGACTGTCCGGTGTGTGGGGAGGAGGAGGAGTCTCTTGAACACCTCTTCTTTCGCTGCAGGGTGGCTCAGGGGGTCTGGGGAGGGACTGGTCTTGATGGGGTTCGTGAGAGTTTTCCCTAGGATCACATGGCAACTTTCTGGAGACGGTTCCTCGAACAGGATAAATTGGATTGTCAGATTTTAATGCGGGTCGTGGCCCTCTTTTGGCGGATTTGGAAGGCGCGGAATTGGGTGGTGTTTGACTTTACTCTATACACCATACCTGTTTTGCTTTCTCAATTTCGTTTGCAGGTGGTGGAATGGGAGGTGGCGAATGAGGCGCATCAGGTCGTGGATGGTGGTGGTGGCATGACCGGGCATTCCGGGGGTCTTAATCAGGTTCTCAGCCCGGGCCTTTGGGTGGTTCGGGTTGATGGGGCTGTGAGATGCGGGTCTCATGGTGCTGGGGGTGGGGTGTTACAGGATCCGTTGGGAAGAGTGGTGACTGCGGAGGCGAGGCTATACGAGTTCATTGAGGATCCTTTCCTTGTGGAGCTGTTGGCTTTCAGGGCTGTGATGCGATGGTGTCTTGCACGGGGCTTGACAATGATTCTTTTTGCGGGGGATGCTAAGGTTGTCATTGACAAGCTTTTGGCAGGATTGACCGAAGATGCCAGTGGAGGGACGATTCTTGAGGAGATGATGGTGCTTCGTCAATCCTTTGCGCATTTCTCTGTCCAGTTTGTTGGTAAGCGTTGTAATAGGGTTCCCATTTGGTGGCACGAAAAGCCCTTTCCTTGTTCCCTTTTTTAGTTGGGTTCGATTTTGTTGCGTGGCTATTTTCGGTCATTTGAACTCCTTTGTATCTGGCTGTTTTCTCGGTAATACGAGCGATCGTTTGATAAAAAAAGGATGATTGTGGTGAGTTTTCCCTCTCATCTGTACACTTTATTAGTTTTAATTTATTTATTAAATTATAATTAAATCAAATTGCAAAATCAGTCCATGTACGGCTAAGATGAGAAGCTGGTAAACATTGAGATTGGTAAAATAAATCAATAAAAATATTAATAATATTACATTATTAGTGCTTTGTTCACGCTTTCAAAATAGAATTCTATAAATTCGACAACACTTTCGTTCCCGCTCCCGCTCTCGCTCCACGCTCTGGTTACCTAAATTCATCATATCCCAGAACTTTGATTCTCTAGTCTCTCTCTTTGCTGTTAGGGACTTTTCATTTTGATGACATCACTCTCCACTACTACTTTTTCTCAACAAATTTAGATCATTTTTATGGACCATTGTGGAGATGGAGAAATGAATCGTTATTTGCCGCCTGTAGTTATAATATTTGTCGCCCATAGTTATAAAAATATGAAATTTTGTCCCTTCTCCATTTTAAAAACCCTAAACCTATCTATTTCCCAACCCAACTCTCACACCCTTCCTTCCCAAACCCTTCCACCTGCTCCCTCCCAAGCCTCGTCGCCGACCCGTCATCATCCCGCCACCGACCACCACATCATCCCACCGCCGTCCTCCATGCCGACCAGTCAAACCACCGCTGTCGACCACCACAACATCTCGCCGCCGCAGTCGTCCACCCTCCGTCGGACCGCCCAAATCATCATCGTCGTCGCCGTCTTCAAGAGGTATTTTAGGTCCCCCCGCCAGTAACTGTTACGTACCGACCTTTTTCGAAAATCAAACCACAACTCAAACCCAAAAACCGGTTACTCCGGAGCAACCAAACCACTTTTTAAATAAACAAACTAACATTATTTCAGAAGTTCAAATGAAAAGCCCTAACACTTGGGCAATCAAAATCCAAATACTTAAACAACTTAACCCAGCATCTTGAACCTTGAATCTCCAGTACATATACTCATAATCATAATCATAAAATAACTTTCGAATTTTAACTCTAACTCTTCACCCAGCTCCTTGACATCTCACCAATACTAGCACGGCCGCTCGCCTCATCTTACTTCTTCTTGGGATCCACTTCCGCTAACCCAACCTCGACCTGGTGAGTGAGAAGGGGTCAGTCTCGTCGTTACTTCCTAAGGTCTTTGCCCTAGGCAAACTCCTTACTAAACACATTATTAAGGGAATGCCTTCCTAGCATGAAAGCCGTTCTCGCTTTCTGCTCTTAAATAATCAACCTTATCAACTCATTTCAACATTAACTCCTAATAGGTTCTCAACTTTTCTCCTTAAATCATAGAAGTTCTCTACTACTACCTTAACTTATATGCTTATTACTAGGGAATCACCGCGTTACGTATCGTCGTCCGGTGTCCCTATCCTCAAGGCAATGGTACTGCGTTACGTATCGCCGTCCAGTCCATGCACGGTCAACTACTGCGTTACGTATCGCCGTCCAGTAGTGACCCGACCATCTACCGCGTCCAGTAGTGGCCCAACCGCCCGGGGGTTCAATTATCATCATCCATACATCATAAACACACACATACATAGCACAACGCGTGCCTCCACCCTTATAGGCGGTGAGACGCCTCACACACATAATCGCGCTTACTTGAAAATAATAACAAACATAACTGAATTAAAAAGCCATAAACTAGAAGACCTTGACGGAGATTTTACCCCCTTTATACTCACCTCATTAGCCGACTCTGACCGATCGACGCGACTCCTCTTCACTGCCGGTTGATCTACGTCATCGTCCGAGATTCCATGCTCAATCATCTCCTTTTGCAAATTCTCCTATTAAGTATTTAGGCAACACTTAATACTCCTTTCTACGAACGTAACTAATCAAACGACCTCAAATTTGGTTGATTCCAATCCCAAATTCCTCCATTTAATCTTTCCTAGGATTCCCCACAAAAAGCTGGAAAATTACCTTTTTGCCCCAAAGTGGCGAATTACAAAATGGTACCCAGAGTTCCTGACCTTTACCAATTTGGCCCCCAACTTCCAGATTTGTACAATTTAGCCCTCCAGGCCAATTTCCACTTTTTGATTTAACATTCCAGTCCAACGGGCTTATTCCCATCAGATACCCAAATAACTACTGTTTACAAACTAACCCTTGGCCTGATAAATTACTCATTCATACTCAATCTTTCTAAAATTCACCAATCTGTCCCACTTCTTAAATGACCAAGTTGCCCCTAACATTTCATCAAATTTTAAAACCCACGCCATTGGGTTCCAACAATTCGGGAACGCTGCTTACCTTTGCTCCGTCGCCACCGTCACCTTCCAAAGTCACCCGGTTTCGGTCGTCATCATCCTCTCATCCATCTCCAACCTCGACCCCATCCTCGGCAACCTCCTCTGGTTCCTCTTCCTCCTCCTCCTCAGAGAACAGCATCCCCGTGATCGGTTTTGCCCGAAACCAGCCGCCGCCAGGAGCTCCGTCCTCTCTTCTCGGCCCACACATCGGCGGCCAGCTCCGAGTTGCCGATACCCCAGGTCGTCGTGGAGGGTAGGGTCGTGGCCTTGTAACCTCCACTGCATCATCCTCCACCCCGCCGCAGTTCAGGTCGACTTCCGTCCGCGTCACGACGAGCTCGACGCCGGTCCCCGATGCGGCCATCGCATCATCTCCCTCCTTGCCCATGCTGTTAGGGTCGACGATGACTCTCTCCCGGGTCGTCGTCATCAAGTCTTTGGACTCCATCACACGACCTCGAGTCACCCTCTTCCCTCCTCTTCTCCGTGTTCGCATTGAAATTTTCATTGCGATTCCGAGTTCAAATCGTCGGAAACGCACCAGACTCTTTTTTTTTTCCTTCTTTGATTCGTCCCCTGCTCAGTTCATACGAAACAGGGGTAGCCGTAATCCTTCTCCTTTTGAAGAAACATCCCCATATTTACCTCCTATTAAGCCCCAATTAAATTCCCATTAATCCCTTTTCATAAATCTTCGTTTAATTTGTGATTTCGTCCGTTTCCCGAGACTGTTTGTGTCCCGCCGTTATTGCTCTGTTTCCCAACCTTCTCCTCGTTCCCGGTCGGTTTTCCCCAGAGTCGTAAGAACCCTCCTCTTCCTTGCACTCGAGCCTCAATCCCACTCTCTCTTTATTCCAGCTGCCGGGTCACTAGACAAGCTTTTGGGCTTAAGCCCAACTTCTCCTTCTCGCTTCCCTTTTTTTTTTAATTCCCTTCCCTCCTTTTAGTTACTTCTGCGGGTGGGAAGTGGGAACAAATAAATGGTGGTGGTGATTGTTAATAACAATAATAATATTAATACAATAATAATATGGAGGAAATGTAACATCCCGACATTGGGTCTAGGTTCGACTGAAAGATTGGATTGACGGTTAGGTACGAAGAACTACAACCATGAACTAGAAAATAACAATAATAACTGTATTAAGATTATTATTGTTATTAACAATCACCACCACCATTTATTTGTTCCCACTTCCCACCCGCAGAAGTAACTAAAAGAAGGGAAGGGAATTAAAAAAAAAGGGAAGCGAGAAGGAGAAGTTGGGCTTAAGCCCAAAAGCTTGTCTAGTGACCCGGCAGCTGGAATAAAGTGAGAGTGGGATTGAGGCTCGAGTGCAAGGAAGAGGAGGGTTCTTACGACTCTGGGGAAAACCGACCGGGAACGAGGAGAAGGTTGGGAAACAGAGCAATAACGGCGGGACACAAATAGTCTCGGGAAACGGACGAAATCACAAATTAAACGACGATTTATGAAAAGGGATTAATGGGAATTTAATTGGGGCTTAATAGGAGGTAAATATGGGGATGTTTCTTCAAAAGGAGAAGGATTACGGCTACCCCTGTTTCGTATGAACTGAGCAGGGGACGAATCAAAGAAGGAAAAAAAAAAAAAGAGTCTGGTGCGTTTCCGACGATTTGAACTCGGAATCGCAATGAAAATTTCAACGCGAACACGGAGAAGAGGAGGGAAGAGGGTGACTCGAGGTCGTGTGACGGAGTCCAAAGACTTGATGACGACGACCCGGGAGAGAGTCATCGTCGACCCTAACAGCATGGGCAAGGAGGGAGATGATGCGATGGCCGCATCGGGGACCGGTGTCGAGCTCGTCGTGACGCGGACGGAAGTCGACCTGAACTGCGGCGGGGTGGAGGATGATGCAGTGGAGGTTACAAGGCCACGACCCTACCCTCCACGACGACCTGGGGTATCGGCAACTCGGAGCTGGCCGCCGATGTGTGGGCCGAGAAGAGAGGACGGAGCTCCTGGCGGCGGCTGGTTTCGGGCAAAACCGATCACGGGGATGCTGTTCTCTGAGGAGGAGGAGGAAGAGGAACCAGAGGAGGTTGCCGAGGATGGGGTCGAGGTTGGAGATGGATGAGAGGATGACGACGACCGGAACCGGGTGACTTTGGAAGGTGACGGTGGCGACGGAGCAAAGGTAAGCAGCGTTTCCGAATTGTTGGAACCCAATGGCGTGGGTTTTAAAATTTGATGAAATGTTAGGGGCAACTTGGTCATTTAAGAAGTTGGACAGATTGGTGAATTTTAGAAAGATTGAGTATGAATGAGTAATTTATCAGGCCAAGGGTTAGTTTGTAAACAGTAGTTATTTGGGTATCTGATGGGAATAAGCCAGTTGGACTAGAATGTTAAATCAAAAAGTGGAAATTGGCCTGGAGGGCTAAATTGTACAAATCTGGAAGTTGGGGGCCGAATTGGTAAAGGTCAGGAACTCTGGGTACCATTTTGTAATTCGCCACTTTGGGGCAAAAAGGTAATTTTCCAGAATTTTGTGGGGAATCCTAGGAAAGATTAAATGGAGGAATTTGGGATTGGAATCAACCAAATTTGAGGTCGTTTGATTAGTTACGTTCGTAGAAAGGAGTATTAAGTGTTGCCTAAATACTTAATAGGAGAATTTGCAAAAGGAGATGATTGAGCATGGAATCTCGGACGATGACGTAGATCAACCGGCAGTGAAGAGGAGTCGCGTCGATCGGTCAGAGTCGGCTAATGAGGTGAGTATAAAGGGGGTAAAATCTCCGTCGAGGTCTTCTAGTTTATGGCTTTTTAATTCAGTTATGTTTGTTATTATTTTCAAGTAAGCGCGATTATGTGTGTGAGGCGTCTCACCGCCTATAAGGGTGGAGGCACGCGTTGTGCTATGTATGTGTGTGTTTATGATGTATGGATGATGATAATTGAACCCCCGGGCGGTTGGGCCACTACTGGACGCGGTAGATGGTCGGGTCACTACTGGACGGCGATACGTAACGCAGTAGTTGACCGGGCATGGACTGGACGGCGATACGTAACGCATTACCATTGCCTTGCGGATAGGGACACCGGACGACGATACGTAACGCGGTGATTCCCTAGTAATAAGTATATAAGTTAAGGTAGTAGTAGAGAACTTCTATGATTTAAGGAGAAAAGTTGAGAACCTATTAGGAGTTAATGTTGAAATGAGTTGATAAGGTTGATTATTTAAGAGCAGAAAGCGAGAACGGCTTTCATGCTAGGAAGGCATTCCCTTAGTAATGTGTTTAGTAAGGAGTTTGCCTAGGGCAAAGACCTTAGGAAGTAACGACGAGACTGACCCCTTCTCACTCACCAGGTCGAGGTTGGGTTAGCGGAAGTGGATCCCAAGAAGAAGTAAGATGAGGCAAGCGGCCGTGCCAGTATTGGTGAGATGTCAAGGAGCTGGATGAAGAGTTAGAGTTAAAATTCGAAAGTTATTTTATGATTATGATTATGAGTATATGTACAGGAGATTCAAGGTTCAAGATGCTGGGTTAAGTTGTTTAAGTATTTGGATTTTGATTGCCCAAGTGTTAGGGCTTTTCATTTGAACTTCTGAAATAATGTCAGTTTGTTTATTTAAAAAGTGGTTTGGTTGCTCCGGAGTAACCGGTTTTTGGGTTTGCGTTGTGGTTTGATTTTCGAAAAAGGTCGGGACGTAACAGTAACTAATAGAAGGGCGGTCCGCCTGGAACGATCGGACCTCGTCCGCCGCTACGGGTCTGACCTCGTCCGCCACTTCGGGTCGAACCGCGTACGCCGGGTCGGTTCGGACCGCGTCCGCCGGGTCAGGTCTGACTATTTTGGCAGGTGCTGACCGGTACGGTTGAATATATTTTTTATTTTAAATTTTTCTATTTAACAAAAATACTATTTAATTGATATTTAGATTGTTAGCATAATAATTAGTATTTAATTGTTAGTTACTAAATCGTAAATGTAAAACAGTGATGTTAAATAGTGTTTGTAATTTTTTAATTTTTTAATTATGTAAATATTCAATTTTCAAATAGTTAAAAAGATATAACATTGTGAACAAATTATATAAATTCAATTGTTAGTATATAATTGTTAGTTAAATAATGAGTATTTAATTGTGCAAATGTTTGATTTTTCAATAATGGACAAATATTCTATTTAAATTTGCAAATGTTCAATTTGGTAAATTAGTTAGTTGAATAATTAGTATTTAACGTTAGTTAAATAACTATTTATCATATTGAATTAAAAAAAGCCTATATAATTGTGTATTTAAATAAAGTAGCGAAACTATCTATCATATTTCGTAAAATAATTATCTATCGTATTTAGTGAAATAACTATCTAACTAAATTAATTAGTTAATAATTTGTATGTATCATAATTAGTCTATGAAAAAAAATTGTGAACAAATTGCTCAAAAATTAATTTATTATAAGATATTAATATATAATTATTTACTATGTTTAGAGATGGCGTCAGCTGGTGATGTTGGATGAACAGGAAAGAAATTGTGGAGATTCGATGGGCGTAACATTAGTATGAATGATAGAAATAAGAGTCAAAGCGTAGAAATAGGTCGGGGGAGCAGTCAGAGCCTGAGAATGAGCCACAACTACATCAGCTAGAGCCATTGATGAGATTGAGGGCAGATGGCTTTCCTCAGTTTGATTTTCAGTTGCCTAGTATGGTTGGTAGTGGAGGTCGTTCTAGTCACAACTTTGGGACGAGGGATCAACATACTTCACTGTTTGAGCCTTCGGACGAGATTGACGACGAGTCTGAGCAGTATGAGTCGGATGTTGTTGAGGATCGCATTCCACGAGGCAGTCCGAACAAAGATAGTGGTGCCGCCAGCGGATTGTCACACGCCGTTACTGGGATTCATAGAGACCATGCGGGGCGTTTCTACATAGCTCCACAGCCCGGTGAGGGTCAGAGGGGTGATGGTGATGTGGGAGAGGGGTGGGAGCTTAGAGGACCGTGTGCTGGAGGGTCGAGCGATCCGAGTTTGCTTCGTAGCTTTCTTGGGCATGTTGCCCACCGTCTTTACACGAGACATGCTGATAAAGGGGTGATCACTTGCTACGATAGGAGTTCCACACTTCAACACGTTCTATAGCGTTACGTGATCGCAGATTCTCGCGCTAGGGGTACCCTAGAGACATCGGGCCTGAGGGCACCTCGCAAATATCACCTTTTAGAGCGAGCTGGACATTGTTCTCATATCGGCATTTGTGGAGAAGTGGCAGCCGGATCCCAACACCTTCCACATGCCATTTGGAGAGATGATGATCCTCCTTCACAACTTGGTGCACATCCTTGGCATTTCGGTTGAGGGAGAGGCGATGACAACGAATCCGAGGCAGTTGGAGAAGATGTCATTTTAGGATGACATGCGAGCACTTTTGGGCGTATCGTGCGGATTTGGGCTAGGGGGCGCAGGTTGGAGAGGTTGTCAGAGATTCGAAGTGGTATAGAGGGCATGGTTTGTTGGGTGTGGTAGCT